CCCCTCTACTCCACCCCGCTCTGTACCCCCTATTCCACCCTGCTCTGTACCCCCATTCCACCCTGCTCTGTACCCCTCTACTCCACCCCACTCTGTACCCCCTATCCCACCCCGTTCTGCACCTCTCTACTCCAGCCCTCTTCTCCAAGCCCCTCACTGAGGCTGGAGCTTCACAAAAGGAAAAGAACCAGAGGGAGATCTCCACTGAGGCAGACGTGGCAGAACTGAGTGTCCTAGTGGGCACAGCCTTGGGGGAATGGCTGACGACCTGGAGGTTTGGGGAGCTGGGGACTTCTTCCCAGCAAGGCTGCCTGCAGAGCCCGACTCCAGAGGGTGCCTGGATTAGCATCTCACTGCGTCCTTCCTGGCTAGGTTCAAGTCAGGGCTTTAAAATATTCACTCACAAAAATGTGTTCAGGGGGAAATACTATTTGGGTCCGGCCTGAGGCTCAGTAACTGGCAGTTTTTCGGTTGGAGCTGTGATGGATGGTTCTCCCGGGGAAGCGGCAGGCTGCTGGGAGGCCGGGGGCTGGCCTGTCCTCACAGGGGAGGGCTGGGGAGTCGGTCCAGGCTGAGATCATGGGATCAGTCCCAGCCTGAGCGCTCTCTCAGGGGGACCTCAGAGGGAACTGAGTCCCATCTGCGTGTTTTACAGGTCGGTCGAAAGCGGCCGCATTGATGAACAGCCCACAAGTGTCTATGCACATATCCGTGCAGACGCATACGTACATGTCTACACAACCACATGTGGACGCAGACACATACACAATTAGATGGATTTTAGCACAGCAGGCATAACCCAACACAGACCGGGGCCGTGAGAGAGGGGCTCACCTGATCATTGTCGGTCTCTTGAACAAAAAACGCTTCTCCATTATCTCCCAGCTTCATGTGTAGATCCACACATTCCCCATTGATTTCAATGTCCACCTGTGGAAAGCAGAGACCACAATGACGTCAGGACTTTCGGGAGGGGGAGTGGAGGCCTGGGAGCCGAGAGGACCCGAGTTAGAATCCCCACCTCGGACGCTCACACACTGGGCCAACTGTAAAAGAAGGTCCCTTCCGGCCCCACATCACCTCTCCTCCTGCCTGGGAAGGCAAAGGGAACCCAGTGAGCCTCCCAACCAAGACTTGGTTGGGTCACATCCCACTGGGCCGTGCTCAGGGCAACAGACTGCCAGCACCCAGAGGGTTCTGGATCAGGAAGGAGGCTGTGGTGCGTGGGCAGAGAGTGGAGGACACCCGGGCTGAGAGGGCCCTGAGAGACCAGTGAGGCCGATCCCCGGAGGCTGGCCCACGAGGAAACCGAGGCCCAGGATGGAGACCAGCCCCTGCTGAGCATCCCCTCCCTCATCAGAAGAGACAAAAAACCAGCAGGCCGGGCAGAGGGAAGGAGAAGCCGGGAAGGCAGGGCCTGAGCCTGAGCTGGGGACCCCGGCCCTACACACATGCCAATCATGGAGGACAGGACCCCACTCACGCTGTGGGTCATGGGACAAAAGCCAGTGTTTCTCTCCCCTCCACAGAGAACACATACTTAGGATTCTAAGTCTGATGATATTTTAAGAAGCAGCCATCTTGAAGAATAGTGGGCAGCTTTTTCTTTTTTTTAAGCAGACTGCAATGTGATGGCAATGATGTAGGGAGTTCCCAGGGAGGACGTTCCCCTGTGAATGCAGCCTGGCTCTGCTCTGACCCAAAGAGCCGGAGAGAGGTGCTGGGGGACCGGAGAGAACTCAAGTTGGAAAGACCATCTCGTCCAACCCCCTCCCCTTAAAGACAAGGAAACTGAGGTAGAGAGCTTTACTCGGCCAGTGTGGGGCTTGAACCCAGGATGCCCTGACTCCAAGCAGCCCTCAATCCAAGAGACCACTCTGCCACCAGAACAGCAGTATATATAATTAACAAATATATATGTATATAAATATTAGTGAATAATGCCAGTTCTTAAAAAATCACTGTCAATCACAAATAATAAGGAATGGTAACTCATTCATAATAATGAATTCTTAATAACTGGTGCTATTCATTAATGTCATGATCACCAACATTTCTATATCCAGGCTTTAATGAATACTTTCCTCACAACAACCTTGTAAGAGGGAATAGACACATTTTGATTATTATTGCCATTTCACAAATTGGGAGACTGAGGCACAAAGAAATGACTTCCATGAAGATATGCATCCTAAAAAAAGGACAGATCTGGGATTTGAGCTCAAAGCTTCCTTCCTCTGAGGCGAGATCTTCAACTGGCCCCAGTGGGGGTCACAGGGTCTCCTCCCACTAGTAGGGGTAGAGTATTAATTATTAATAATAACAGCTAGCATTTATATAGCACGGCAAGGTTTGCAAAGCACTTTACATATGTTAATAGTAATGAGCATTAAGGATTAACAGTATTCACTAATAGTAATGATTATTAACAATGAACATTGTTCATTAATACATTGATAATAGATATTATACATTAATAATGATGATTGTTAATAATGAAGGCTATTCCTTCATTATAATAATAAATATTGTTCATGAATGATAATTAATGTTGCTAATTAATAATGGTGATTATGAATAATGAACATTAATCATTAATGACACTTAATAATATTATTATGGATAATGAAGATCAGTCATTAATATTCTAGCTGCTTACATTTAATTGTATTCTATGCTTTAAGGAGTATTTTCCTCCCAATAACTCTGCGAGAGAGGTAACAAATATTTGTATGATTATCCTCATTCTGCAGATCAGGAAACTGAGGCAGGAAGCAGTCGAATGCCTTCCCTGGGGCCACGCCAGAGCTGGCTCCGACCCCCGTCTCCCCCATCCCCTAGGCGACAGGCCACTCCACCCCTGAGGATCATTCCTAATGACCGCTGCTCTTTAGTACTGTCCAGGGATCGCCGGGCTCATGCAGGGGCCACACTTACCACCTTCTCTCGGGAGCGCAGCACCCCCATTTTCCCGAAGCGGACGTGGAAGGGCGAGCACTGAAGGTTGCCGTTGGGCTGACGCACCACAATGATGTCGATGCATCCAGACAGCGTGGCGGGGTTCAGACCCTTGTAGAGCTCCTTGACCGTGACAAAGACCTGGCCTGCTAACTGTCCCACGTAATTCATGGTTTGAGCCTGCACGGGGGGGACACAAAGAGACCGGCTGAGTGACTGAGTCCAGGGGGCCGGGCTCCTCGCCAGGCCCAGCCCCAGGCAGCTCAGAAGCCTGACCTGCACTCTGAACACCCAACCTGCACCTCACGGGTCCAAACACACGTCTGACCTCGCAACAACGCTGCAGGCGGGTTTCCCGAGGGCCACGTCAAGGGCTTCTGCGTCTTTCTTCTCCCCCACTGCCTGCCCCATGTCTGGGATCCTCACAACAACCCCAGGTCTAGGGGCTACCAATATCCCCATTTTACAGAGGAGGAAACCAAGGCTGAGAGAGGTTACATGGTCACACAGCTAGCAAGTATCTGAAGCTGGGTTTGATCTCAGCTTGAGCCCAAGTCCAGAGTCCTATCCACTATGGCATCCTGCCCCCTGTATACCCGGCACCGAAGAAAGAAGAAGAGAGATGCAGAGAGACAGATGGAGACAGACAGGCAGACGGACAGACAAATGATAGTGAGAGGAATACAAATACTTAACAGATTTAGTAGATAATGACAGACATAGATATAGACAGACAGACATGACTGATATGGTTAGATAGGCAGAAAGGCAGAGAGAGATAGATGATAGATTGATAGATAAGACAGATACAGAGATAAACAAAAATGACAGAAAACAAATGTGGAGGGAAGGAACGAGGGAGGCAGAGAGGGAGGGAGGAAGGAAGGAAAGAAGGGAGGAGGGAGGGAGGGAGGAAGGAAGGAATGAAAGAAGGAAGGAAAGAAGGAAAGAAGGAAGGAAAGAAGGAAGGAAGGAAAGAAGGAAGGGAGGGAGGGAGGGAGGAAGGAAGGAAAGAAGGAAGGAAAGAAGGAAGGAAAGAAGGAAGGAAAGAAGGAAGGAAGGAGTGCCTGCCATACTCCAGACCCCATACAAAGCACCAGGGATACAAAGCCAGGCAAAGGGGACAGCCCCTGTCCTGGAGGAGCTTCCACTCTGCTGGGGGAGGACATCACACAAAGGGGAACCAGAAAGGGAGAGAAGGGCATAAGAGAGAAGGGGGCAAGGCAGCAGGTGAGGAAGAGAAGTGACGTGGAAGGCAAACTAAGGCACCAGTGAGGTGAAGCACGGCTGGGCCCCCTCCTGGGGCAGTCCCAGTCTAGAGAAGGGGTCCTCGGGGTGGAGGCGTCTCCAGGGTGGGAAGGTGCTTGGGCAGGTCTGAGGACAAGAGAGTTGGAGAACTGAGTCTAGGCATGAGGGTAGGGCCTCGTTGAGTTTTGCCATCTGCCCAACACTCAGCCAGGGTCGGCCCAGCCCAGAGGAAGCATCTGTTTGTTACGTGACTGTCAACAGACTGTACATAGATGTTTACTGAGTGAATGATGGATAAATGGATGGATGAATTAACAACCCACAATGGCTAGCTGGCCCCCCCAAAACAAGGTGGTCCCTGAATATTTTTGAGACTGTCCTATCTTTGCTCATGGTCTTCGCTCGATGTGGAATGACTGCTTGCTCCTCCCCTTACCTATCCTTCAAGGCGCACACCTTCAAGGCCACCTCCTCCACCAAGACTTCCGGGATGCCCACGGTTAAGTGATCTGTCCCCTTGGCCTCTTGGAGGCGTCTATCACACTACACCTTAAATTAAAGAGACTGTTCAGTTGCAGACGCCACAGCTTAGGAGGGACATTGGTAAGCTGGACGGCGTCCAGAGGAGGCAATCAATCTAGGAAAATCAGTTGAAAGAGCTGCTGCGCTGCAAAGACCACTGGCTGTTAATTCGGAGGACCCGGGTTCAAACCCCACTGCCCACTTCCCTGGGTGGGCTTCCGTTTCCTCAACCATAAAAGAAGGGAGCCAGAGCTGCGGCTCCTCGGCCCTCGATGCCACAGTTGGAGAAGAGAATACATGGGGTGGGGGCATCAGAGCTGGGTCGAAGTGGGGGGGGCTGTCAGAAGGATTTGTCCTGCTGGAAGGCAGAGGCAGACCCAGGAGCAAAGTGGCCAACTGAGGCTGGCTATCAGGAAGAGCTTCCCAGCAAGAAGAAAGGTCCCAAAGCGGCCACGCGGCCTGAGGAGGCAGGACGGCCACCTGGAGGGGGGGACGTGACCCCTGCTGAGGTCCCTTCCCTCTCCAAAAGGCCACCAGTCTTCTCAGTGACAGGCCCCCAGATACTCCAAGCCAGGCCTCAGGCCCTGCCCCACCCCAGCCCACCCCAATTTCTCCTGCGTACTGAAGGAGCCCCCTAAAATGCCAAGCTCTAGAGAAACACTGGGCTTGCTACAGGACACTACATTCCAGTGGCCGAGCAGAAGCCAGGCCCAGGCCTCCTGACTCCCAGCCCATCCGACGGCCTTGTCGGGCAATCGGCGGGTCTCCTTGGGCCTGGCCCAAACTAGCATCCCCCACTTGATGTGAGAGAGGCCTACACCTCCCGGGATCCTAGGGGCCCCTGACTCATCGGTCTTCTTCCAAGGGGTCCAAAACAAGCCGGCCCCTCCCCCTTCCCCAATCCTCCTTTTTCAATATGGACAGGATGGCGTCTACAGGCATAATCCACTACGTGTACTGGCTTCCAAATAAATTCTCATCCTTTCCCCTACCCGAGAAATACCTCCAACAAGGAGCTAAAGACCAGTGACCCTCTGACACCATTTCCCTCACCAAGAGGGTCCTTGGAGATTTGGCAAATGGGCCGCACGCCCTGAGACAGCGCAGGACTCCGGGGCCCCGAGGGGAAGCCCCACACTCACTGCCAGCATCAGATCACCCCAGGGGCCACGGCCGGTACACGCCCTGAAGGTCGTTTTTGGGTGGAGGCAGGAGGGTCAGCATGACCTGGGTTCGAACCCTGCCTTGACCTGCCCTAACTCATGGCATCTCTGAGCTGCCCGCGATTCCCTAAGATCTGATATGTTGAGAGATCATGATAAGAAGCGAGCATCACCTCCACAAAACACTGCTTACACCAGGGCTGGGGAACCTGCAGCCTCCAGGCCACATGTGGCCCTCCAGGTCCTCGGGGGCAGCCTTCTGACAAATCCTTGTATGAAGGGGATTTGTTCTGTGAGGTCTGGATCAGTCACAGGGCCACGCCTGAGGAACTAGAGGGCCACATGTGGCCTCCACACCCGCAGGTTCCCCAGCCCTGGTTTTTACACCTTCTCTGTTCTGATGAGCTGCAATCTCCAGGGGTGAAAAGAGCTGCCACACCAGGAGTCTCCCACCCCCCGCTCCCATTCCTTGCCAATGCTGACTACTAAAATCAAGCAGGCAAGCAATGAAGCACCTGCTCTGCACCAGGCACCCAGCTAAGGGCTAGGCATGCCCAGAAAGGAGCACACACTCCCTGCCCTCAGGGAGCCTCTGTGCGTAGCTAACTAGGTACAGCAAGATAAATCTGGAAGGTAAGCCTAGCTAACCACAGCCTTCTCCTTAGGGATGGAATACCGCTTTAATCTGGGACATAACCAGGCTGTGGCAGCTAGGTGGTGCCACAGTGCTCAGAGCACTGGGCCTGGAGTCAGGAAGACTCCTCTCCCTGAGTTCAAATCTGACCTCAGTCACTTACTAGCCTTGTGACCCTGGGAAAGTCTCTTAAGTCTGTTTGCCTCAGTTTCCTCATCTATAGAATAAGGTGAAGAAGGAAATGGAAAACCACTCCAGTATCTTTGCCAAGAAAACCCCAAATAGGATCACAGAGTCGGACACGCCTGAAACGACTGAAAAATACCCCTACTCAAAAATCTCTTTTTTGGTTCCCCAATGGCTATACCACAATTTGGTCCCAATTTAAAGAATACTGGAGCTAGATTCAAAAGACCTGGGTTCAAATCCCCATCACTGATACTTACTGAGCAATCACAAACTCTCTGGGCCTCAGAGAGTTTTCCTCATTTGTAAAATAGTAATTCCCACTTCACAAGACTTTTGTGAGCATAAATAACACACATAAAGGACTCTGTAAATATGAAAGCCATTCATCGTCCTCACTATCACCACCATCATCGTTGTCATCGTCACATCATCATCACCATCATCACCATCACCACCATCATCATCGCCATCATCACCATCATCATCATCATCACCATCATCACCATCATCGCCATCATCGCCATCATCATCATTGTCACCATCACCATCATCATCACCATCACCATCATCGCCATCATCACCATCACCATCATCGCCATCATCACCATCATCATTGTCACCATCACCATCATCATCGTCATCACCATCATCGTCACCATCACCATCATCATCATCATCACCATCACCACCATCATCGTCACCATCACCATCATCATCGTCACCATTATCACCACCATCATCACCATCACCATCATCACAATTGTCATCATCATTGCCATCATCACCATCATCATCGTCACCATCACCACCATCATCATCATCATCATCACCATCATCATCACCATCATCGTCACCATCACCATCATCATCGTCACCATCACCATCGTCGTCATCATCATCATCACCATCACCATCATCACCATTGTCATCATCACCATCTCCCACTCTCCAGCTCATGACAATCCATGGATACAGGATAGAGGGGCAAACCTCAAGTCCTGTCCTGCCCCTGACCCATCCTGGCCATTTCTAGCCCCTGCCCCAGGCAGCTCTCTACACCGTCAGGTTCTTCTACCCACTCCAAGAGAGAAAAACAAAACAAAACAACAAAAGAAAAGGAGAGCAAATAGTATGCTTTGCTCTACATTCAGACTCCATAGTTCTTTCTCTGGATGTGGATAGCTTTTTCCATCATGAGACTTTTGGAGTTGTCTTAGATCCTTGCATTGTTGAGAAGAGCTAAGTCTATCAAAGTTGGTCATTACACAATGTGGCTATTACTATGTACAATGTTCTCCTGGCTCTGCTCACTTTACTCAGCATCAGTTCATGCAAGTCTTTCCAGGTTTTTTCGAAGTCAGTCTGCTCATCACTTCTTATGGAACAATAGTATTTCATTCTATTCATATACCACAAATTGTTCA